TAGATTACAATACCTGCCTGGATTGAATACTAATACCTAATCATTTTCCCCCCTTCCTCTCGCGCGCCTGCTTTTGCGTTATGATAAAGCTACGGTAATGCTCACCGCGTCTTCCGTCTTCTCTCTTTTCTAAGATTACACTTCACGTGTCTTAATGCAAGTTCCATTTTCTGATGTATCATCTCTTTTCATTGCTTTGCCACTAGCTCAGTGGATACTTTGTTATTCCTTGTTCTTTCCTTGTATTGACTCTACACTATCGAGCAGCTCTTTTTCTGCAAAGTTATAAAGCCTTTAAGTATGGTTTGAAATTTTCATTTTGTCAGACATTTGTCTGTCCATTTTTTGATAATCCAAAAGATTTAGGGCTCACTTAACTCCCCACTTATAAGGACGTACTCACATGCTATGCTCTTGAGAGTGTACTTTAGGTATTGATTCGGGTGGAAACCGTCCTTTTCAGTTATTGGTGAAAGGATAGCGAAAAAAATCAGTCTTTATGAAAAGGCATCTATTCCTATTGTTTCGTATACACGCGTTATACAAAATATTACAGAATACCATAAAAAAATACAAAAAAGTCATAAAGTGTACTTACAAAGTCGACAGAATCTCAGCTTTACAAAAAAACATTGATGACTTCAAAGCAACTGTCAACTATTTATTCGACATTGCAACATGTAAATGCTGTAATTTTTAGTCCTGTTCTCGCCCGAAGGAAAGATTCCTCAGAAAGAACAAGCTTTTTTTTATGACCAAAAAAGGGCCCGAGTCGATCGTATAGATGGTCGACATTCCTGAAACAATAAAGCTTATAGACAGAACTAACCGTAGCGAAAAAATACAAAACAGTCGGGTACCTACATCAGAAAATGAACTGTGGATATCTGTATGAATGATGTTCAAGTCCACTAAGGAGGCTTGACTCGAAGCCTTTTGGTCGTGGCGTTTCGTTCCGGTCCTACATTATTAGACTCATCAATAAGGCGATGTGTGGAATGCTTTAGACGCCTGGAAATGAATTTAGATTAGTATCCTATTTAAAAGGAATTCGCGTGACTGTGATGCTCACACGAATCCGGGCGAGTTCCATTGGACCTCTGTGCGAGTCGCCACAGGACTCCACTCCAATGATAGCGCGAGCCAACGGATTGCGTCGGAATGAAAAGTATCAGGGACGAGTGTGGTGCAATCGGTGTATCTTGATAGCATTCGTTATCGTTCGTTGTTATCCGTTATTGCTCTATGCTGCTCTATGCTGCTCTGTGCTGCTCGGTGCTGCTCTGTGCTGCTCGGTGCTGCTATGTGTGAGCGTTGTGAGCGTGTGTGAACGTGTGCGAGAGCATGTGTGAGCGTGTGCACGTGAGCGCGTGAGCGTTGTGAGCGTATGTGAACGTGTGCGAGAGCATGTGTGAGCGTGTGCACGTGAGCGCGTGAGAAAAGGTTAGATCAGAAGAGATGTGTGTGCGAATCACGTTGGGGTCACCAATGTGGATATCTATACCAGGGCTCGACAAAATTTGCACTTCTCGGCCGATTTTCGATTTGGCTCCGCTTTCCACTATTCCTCTCACCTCTTGCCTCGCGCTCAGTCCAAATGTCGCTCGACGTTTAGGAACCAAGTCGAACTCTATACGAATGATGTTCAAGTTCATTAAGGGAGGCCTGACTTGAAGTTTTTTGGTCGATCACGGCATTTCGTTCCGGTCCCACACTACTAGACTTATCAGTAAGCGATGTAGTGTGGAATCTGCCTTAGGTGCCTGGAAATGAATTTAGATTGTCCTATTTAAAGGGAATTCGCGTGGCTGCGATGCTCACGCGAATCCAAGCGAGTCCCATTGAGAACCTCTGAGTCGCATAGCACCTTCCTGCTCCATTCATTAAAAATTACGTTTAAACCATGTTTACTTGAACCTAAAATTTCAGAAAGCGTATCATGTGATTCTGATTACTCTTGCTTAGCATCAGGAAAGCCTCCTCAAATGAGAGTAACTTTGAGAGAAACGGCACTTACTAGTCAAAGGTATGGCGTAAGTGATAGACAGCGATGATAACTACTTCGGTGCTTAAAGATATTGGTCTAGTGTCTCGAGACCTTAAACTAGTTACAGATCGAAGTAAAATAAGACAAGAAAAGAATAAAATTCAGGAAGAGTTGAAAATATAACCGCAACAACATATCAAACCTAAAGTACTGTACTTTGATGGTTGAAGAGATGACATATTCACTTAGATCAAGCAAGGAGCAAAGTTTTATCAACGCATTGTAAAAGAAAAGCACATTTCAATAATATCCGAACCTGGATCAAAGTACTTAGGATCACACGTAGGGTCGAAATCAGAAAGTGCACAGGATATTTGCAATAGCATTTACGAATTGATCTTGAAGGCAATAAATTTGAACGAGCTTATGGTCATAGAGTGTGATGGTACAGTTATTAATACACACAGGAGTAGAAGGTGATGTAATTAAGTTCTTCCAAAAAAGTGTGATCGATTACTCCATGAATGATATGCCTTCTTCACTTTAACGAGCTTCCATTCCGGAATCTCTTTCAGTTTATTTATGGAGCCATATCTGGGCCAAAGTCATTTGTTGGACCTATAGGTGTTCATCTTCAAAACTGGAAGTCTTCCAGTCGTTTCCTATTGTATAAGACTATTGATTGCTCTTTACTTGAAGTGAGAACTGTAGATCTGAGTAAGGACCAGTACTAGATATTTCTAAGGCAATTCAATCCGATAATTGTCCGCCTGACCTCAGCTGTCGAAACCCAGGTATCTTTAACGACACTCGCTGGCTGACCTGTGCAAATATTGCATTTATATGTATATCCACTGAAAAACCAACGACAAAGCTGAAAGATATTGTGACATACTTAAAGTCTATGTCCCGATGTGGTTTGCAATAAAATGCAACAGTTCTATTAAAGACGGAGCGAAGCTCCTCTTTTTAATACTATACTATACAACAGTCACGGTACTTACCAAAACAGTATTTACATGTGCCATCAATGCTTTCTTCGCACTCTCGGAAAATGTTCTTTTCTCCATTCGACGAACGATAGTCCATCTAAATGCGTTACACAAAATTTTGCAAGCCCAAGACCGAGAATCAGATGAAAATGCTGAACAATTACTATCCCTTTCGAAAATCAATTTCTTCGCAGACGATTATTATAAAATAATTGATTGGTCTTCTGTTCGAATCAAGTCGCCTCCAGTTCTCAATCAAATAACAAATCAGAAACTATCAGAGAAATTGTCGAGTAAGAGAGAGAGAGCGTGTTTCTAAACTGGGAATTTCTTTAATATCCCTGCCACATCCAGGCAGTTGAACGCATGGTAAAACTCGTGATCGAAGCATCTTCTCAAGCGATGCAAAGGATAGTTTCATTCGTTGCAATGTTGTCCCGTCAATTTATGATACGAAGTCCTCGCTATAAAGTTTATACATTACACAACTACAAGGAGCGCAGTTACTTGTTCTTGCGAATAAAAATATTAACAAACGAAAAAAAATTTTTTTAAATATAAAATACAAAATATAAAAAAATATAAAAAAAAATAAAAAATATGTAAAAATACAAAAAAAAACAAGAAAAAGAACCCGATGTTCAGCTACCTCCGCGTGGTGGGTTCTAGGCCACTCCATTAGGAAAGGCGAAAAGCTGCATTTTTAGATACTTTGCATTGCCCATAGGCCATTCTTGTCATTTTGAAACCGCGCATGGTTTCTTTGCTCCTTTACGCAACAAACATAATGCTGGATAAAAAAGGTGCAATCTACCAACGGTAGAAATGGTACCTTTGGTGCACACAGAAGAAATTATCCGATCGAGCTGAAATTTTGTACACGTTTTATTAGGTCACGTAGGCAACTTTTCCGCACTATTAGATACACATATACTATTATATACACATATATACATACTTACATATTAGAGTGGAGTGGAAAAACATTTTTTTCGATTATCAAATTCTAATAGTGCGGAAAAGTTGCCTACGTAACCTAATAAAACGTGTATATATTAATATATATATATATATATATTATATTGTGATATAATTTACTTATATATATAAGTAATGTACTTTATTAAATTCGAGATAGTGTTATACAAATAATTATAAACGTGGGTCTCGGACTTGGATAAATTTTGTTAATCTCTTGCAGTACACAGCGCGTTGTCGATTTTTCCCTCTTTTCACTCGGAGACGACTGATTCTTTTTCCCGGGGTCATCCCCATATACAAATAAATATATCTTACGATTGGCGTTTAACTTTACCGGCTTTAACCGTCCTGTTTCTCAAGTCGTTACCATAAATACATGTCCGTATACTAATATCCTACAATATTATTATATTTAATGAAAAAATACTTCATTATATAATAGTTTTTGAAACGTTCTCGAGGTAAGCTACGTGAATATATAATGAAAAATGGGGTTCCATTTAAAAAATTCAAAGTAACCTTGATAATGAAGATCAAACCAATGATACCATCTTATATTCCCCCGAAGTCATACAACTTTTGTCTAAAATATTTTCCCGTATCTCTATACTTTACGAGATATTTCGATGCGAAAATTAAAATGGAACACACTGTATACTTAAAAATTTTTAATACTGTCAGTATATATCAAAATACAATCTTAAAAAGAAATACTTGTCTTGAATATGCATTTACAAATTCAAGTGACTAGACATTTCTGTTCCCATTACATTAATTGAACAAATTAGTCTTTATATATATGCAGCAAATTTTATTTATTATATATTTTACATGAAATACATAATTTTGTATATTGTTAATAGGAATTTTTATTAATTTATAATTTTGTTGTAAAATAATGAGTTACTTCAAATTCATTTCACATTTTCACGATAATCTTATTTAATGTTTTTTTACCAATTAAAAAATTATTAGAAATATTCTTTTTTTTTTGTAAAAACAATTATTTAATAAAAATATTTGTTTCTACATGCTTTCAGTGATATTAGAAGTTAATTGTAAAATGGAAGATCATCCTTACACAACTTTAAATTCATTTACATATGTTGATTGTGTGAAATCTTTACCTGAAAATGTTATTGAAGGAAAAGAGAGTGACGATTTTCTTATACAATTATATAAGGAACGAAGATATTTATATGATAAAAGTCATAAAGATTTTCAGAATAAACAGATAAAAGAAAATGCGTGGTTCGAAATTTCTACCATTATGCAACAAAGAAACCTAGGTTAATACTTTTGCATTATTATAATAATAGCTATATTACTTTCCTGGTAACAAGCTATGTCATTTTGTCGTCATTTTGATGTCAGCTTGCTACCAGAACTCCGTATAGCAAAGGGTCACATTCACGTCACAATTATTGAGTCTCTATAATCAGGAAGAAAATATTATATGATGTCATTGTCATAACAAAATAACACATGTTACAAAGACATTCGCACATTACCATGACATTGCTGTGACATCACATTGTGATAAAGCGGACATTCGCACATCACCATGACGCAACCATTATTATTGTGATGTAACTATGACATTTTTTGCTATGGAGTAATATGATATATATTAGATATATGTTAGATTTTATGAATAACTAAATTACTATTTATTACAATTTTTATTTTTTCATAGGTAAGCGATACACACCTAAATATTGTCAAACAAGATGTACTTCTTTAAGAGATCAATATAGTCGTGAAAAAAGAAATATTAGAAATAATTCCAAAAGTGGAAGTACTTGTTCAAAACGGAGAACATTTCCATTTTTTACTCAACTATCTTTTCTTGACAATTTTATTAAAAGAAGAAGGTAAGTGATATTACATTATAAAATTAAAATAATTTTTTTTAATTGAGAATTATTTTAATTGAGAAATGTTTTGTTACTTCTTTAGAACTTTTTTCAATGTTGAACGAAATAGGAACGCACTTCAATCCATAAAAGATACAGAAGTAGTAGCACATGAAGATAATAATAATGAATCGACTAGCGAATCGGAATATGAACAGCAAAAAACTATCAAAGTGCCTCAAAAAAGAATTATTAGTATGTGTCAAGATACGTCTCGAGACATGGAGAATCTTGAACAAGTATATGATCGAGATAACCGTACTAAACAAATAAGTGATTTAAGGTTTAAAAGACGTAAAATTGAAGAATCAAAAAGTATTGATGATACATTGACGAATATCAGCAAAACAATTCTGAATTTTCTCAAAAGTACGAAAAAAAATACCACAGATAGTATAAAAACAATTGATCAGTCATTTGCTAATTATATTCGCGTACATTTAGAAAATATTTCAGAACCCGAAAAAACAGTAAGGAAAAAGATGATAATTGATGCCCTTACAGCACCAATACCCAAAAAATAATGACAATTATTGTATTTTTAAAAAATTTTTAAAAATGCTTTTAATATTGTGGCTTATGTTTGTATTTAAAAAATGGCTAGTATTATAAAACTTTTTATTCTATGTAATATTCTGTAGCATTAGCATCACTCTTATATGATAAAAAATTATTGAAATAAAGATATATCATCTGTTATTTTTTTATTTTGTAGTCGATTACTAAAAAGTTGCAACAGTTTTTTTCGATGGGTTTCTGAATGCAGTGTATTCACCGAATGATTGATTTTTATTTGTGGATACATGAATTGAACATTTCGTTCCAGTTCCATTCCGTAACAGTTTTCTCTACCCATTCAGTAAAAACGACCGAAATCTGGTTACGAAATATATATTTCACCGTTACAATTTAATATTTTAGAAAACTCACAACAATGTTATCGGCAAGATAATTGCATAAATTATATGTATATTATTACTTCAACTGTCCAAAATAATGAAATATCGATGAATCAAGCACATATTTACCTATGATCGACGCGATATTCCGTTTCATTTTTACTGAGGGTAGAGAAAACTGTTACGGAACGGAACAGTTTTTCTGGAAAAGAATGCTCAATTCGAGTGAGAATCCGATCCATTATTTTGACCCGTGCTTAATGGGACAGCACCCTAAAGCGAAGCTCGAACTCCGATGTCACCAGAGGTCGCTTTTTCCAGCGCATCGACATGTCTTTATATACTATCATGATATAAAGACAAGGGTATGCTTGTCCGATGGTAACCCATTGCGCAGATATAGAAAAGAGAGAGTAAACACGTGACCGTCAACAAGTTATGCGATCTCGAGTGATTTTGTCCTTGTTTAATATTTAATAAATAACAAGAATGAAATAATGCTTAAAATATTGTGAGCGACAAAGCGAACACAGCCATGGTCGCAAATCACGATTGCGAGCACTTCTATTTATAAGGTGATTGTATTTGATCACAGATTAACATGAAATATAAAGTAAAAAACTCAAAATTATTATCGGAAAACAAAAATCATCCGATTAAATATTTTTCATTTCCGAAAGAAGCAATTTGTATTAAATGGCGTGAAGTCTGTGCAAATCGAGATATTTTCATTATCAAAAGTATCATTGTTTTATACTATACTTAGTTTAAACAATAGTTTGAACAATAAATTACCTCGAAAAAAATAATTTTTAATAACAAGAAATGATTATTTTCCTATAATCTAATGCATTCCACAGGCTATAAGATTATGTTGTAAAAATTAATTTCGGCGAATTTTATAATATTTTATAATATTCTATAATATTAATCCGCGAATATTATAATATTTATAATATTGTTTTTTAATACTTATTTTGTGTTTAATATCTTTTGTATTTCAATTATTTAATTGCGAAAAGAGCATGTAAACCAACGCTAGTTATTATTGCAGATATCTAATATTGTTTATTCATAACAACATATACAAATATCTAAACGTTTCGATTATTATTAAGTGATCTTCAGTAATTTTTAAATCCAATATATATCTAATTCGTCAACTATTTAATTATCATCATTCTCCTATCCTTATGAATAATTGTCTTAAAACTTAAGTAACATTTACAATTAAGATAATTATGGAAAAGTATACATTCTAAATGAGAATCAAAATTGCGAATATAATCGAAAGAAATTTTGTTTGTTTGTTTCTCGCCGTTTATTCTCATATGTATATGTATGCTCCAGTGGCAATGTGATATTTCGCTTCTTTTACAGATAGCTCAATTATATCGTAAAGGCTGGTATTATACATTGGTATTGTTCTTTATATTGCAACAATCGTGGTCACTTACATAAAAGTCATTTCTGCAAAATCACATTAAGAATTAAACCTTAGCTTATATTTTACGAAATCGTCAAATTGATTCTTAATTTCATCAAATTTAATATGAAAGTTAATATTATAATAAAATTAGTCAGTTAGTCATCACATTCAACAAATTCCTAAGGCGATCATAAAAGAGAAAAGAGCCGTTATAATTTTATGAAAAATATTTTATTATGTAATCATTAAAATGATAACATGATTATGAATTGACAGATAAAAATTGTTGTCTATAATACCCAACTATGACTATCATAGTTGCCCATCCATCAATATCTTAGTCAAACGTGCAAAATTGTAATGAGAGCAGCGCGATGCTGACAACAGAACGGCTCGATTACATATATATCGTTGACAATACGTAAAGACGAATCATCCCCTCCTCCGTTATCTTTGAAGAGGGGATATATCCCCCAATATCGGAAGATAGATATTTGGAAACTTCTCCGTATTACTTTGCTTATTTAAACCATGAGTCTGCTTTTTTATGTGTATCATCTCTGCTAATAGCCTTTTATAATAAAATGATTCTTTATCCAAAATTTCTACTGTTTCCCATTCAAAATCATGGTTTTCTTCTAATCTCTGTTCCGATATAACCGATAAATTCCCAGTCTTTTTATTAATGTTATTATGATGTTCTTTAATACATGTTTTTAAATTTCTTTTTGTTTGTCCAACATAAGTGGACAGTCTCACAGTCTCTACTCTAATTTATTTTATATACAACGTTATTACACGAATGTGATTCTAATTTATCTTTGATTGTTCTAATGAATTTAGTTAATTGATTTATCGGTTTAAAAGTTACATTAAGATTATACTTTTTACTTATATTTCTGAAATTATCTGATATGTTGCTATGGTAGGGGATTGTGAAATATTTTTCTGGAACTACATCATTATTCTCGTTGTCATTATGATTGGATCATTTGTAAATATAATTTTTAATTCTATTGTCAATGGTAAGCAAATATAAAATCCAAAGGATATCCATTATTCAACAGAACAAAAATAATTTCTTTCAAGTTTTTTTTCTGAAATTGTGGATTTTGTAAAATATAGACTAAGATTTAGTTCCTAATGTGATTTTGCAGAAATGACGACTTTCATAGAAGTAGTGATCACGATTGTTGCAATATAAAGAACAATACCAATATTAATACCAGCCTTTACGTAAGAAATGAGCTATCTGTAAAAGAAGTGAAATAGCACATGCCATTGGAAATATATATACATACGAGGATAAGCGGCGAGTAACAAACGAATAAAATTTCTTTCGATTATATTTTGATACTCATTTAGAATGTATTTTCTATAATTATCTTATAATTGTAAATGTTATTTAAATTCTAAGACAATTATTTATAAGGATAGGAGAATGATAATAATCAAATAAAAGTTAACGACAAATTAGATAAATACTGGATTTAAAAACTGAAGATGCCCTAATAATAATCGAAAATTGGTTAGATATTTGTTATGAATAAACAATATTAGCAATAATAACTAGCGTTGGCTAGACTATATGCTCTTTTCGAAATCAGATTGATTTATCTAGCCAATCTTTACTTAGTTATATAATTAATATCTTTTGTATTTATTAAAATGTATTGCAAGGAGCTGTAAGTATACTGATAAATAATACATTCAAATTTACCACGAAATGATGACTCAACAATTCTGATTGGTCGTTCGACTGATTCTGCGGATAGGCATACTCTTATCTCTTATCATGTATACCAGACAGAATCAAGAGAGAATGGAGCGGATAGTGTTCTCTTCTCTGATTGGTTCCGTCATTTTTCCACTCCCGCAAATGTGCATGTGTGCATGTACACTGCGGTGCATTAATTCGCTTGGTCATAGTAGCAGCCCGACTTATCGATGTTTATTTTTTACTCAAATACTATACATATCAACTTTACGGTAAAACTGCAAGAGACAAAAATCATTTCTTCTCATAGAACTCTAAGAATTTCTTCAGAATTTTTTCAGAATTTTTTTTATCAACTCTTTAGTACTGCATTTTCTTATTTTCGATAAGTCGGGCCGCTACTATGACCCAGCGAATTAATGCACTGCACTGTACATATATATAGAGTGAATGTTAATAGATGTCCCTTTTATCATGAGAAGTGAGTTACTGACTATACATCGTAGATAATCACAGCTCAGTCGATAACTCATTTCCCATGGTAAAAAATTGGAATATTCATTAATTAATATTCATCCTATATATTGGGTCATCTAAAAAGTATCCGCGGTTTTTTGTCACTAGATGTGTGTTGATGGTCATATATCTAGTGACCCAATATGATATACATAACATAAACTATAGATTTTCAGCGCTGGCAATAAATTTTGGAACACAGCCTTTATTGTCAAAGCTGTCAGCAAATTGATGACAACATTGAGGAACAAATAAATCTACCGATACGAGACCAAATTATCGATAAAACCCAAGCAATGCTTACAAATAATTTATTGGGTCATCTAAAAAGTATCCGCGGTACTTTGTCACTAGATATATGACCATCAACACACATCTAGTGACAAAAAACCGGATACTTTTTAGATAATCCAATAACAGTAAGTTGATGACAAAAACTGAACAAACTTTCCTGACTTAACTTTATGACAAATTGTAGATAAAAATTGAGCAAGATTTACATACATAGTCCCTCCATGAAATGAACTTGTTTCGTAAAAAAAAAAACGTCCCAGTAGCGAGATTCTCTAAACGTCTTATCGATGATGAGCCAATGACAATTGCGCTTTCTTTCAAGATTGTCCTGTCATTATCGCTAATTAACGATAGCTAGAATTGTTGATAAAACATTTAGAGAATCTTGTAACAAGAGTCCTATAAGGTCGGAATCAGACTACGTATTGAAGAATGAGATTAAAGATTAAAGATTGAAATTTCATCAATGAGGATAAAGAAGTTTTGGCTCTTTTTGTTTTGATTGATCAAACTTCAATTTTTCAATCTCATTTTTCAATGCATAATCTGATTCCAACCTAAGAAGATGTGTGCAAATCAGGGTTGGGCATGTAGTAAATATAATGTATCATACGTTTTTATACATATATTATATTGGGTCATCTAAAAAGTATTCGCGGTTTTTTGTCACTAGATGTGTGTTGATCATATATCTAGTGACAAAGTATCGCGGATACTTTTTAGATGACCCAATACATACTTTTTATAAGTTTTACACATATATACGTATATATATTGTATATTATACACACAAAATGTAAGAAATTTACTCACAGCTTTAAATTGCTCAACTGTGATGCAAATTAAGGTCTCGTCTACAATCATGTCGACTAACGCTTATCAGATGTTGTTAATCATAAGAAATGATACTAAATGCCTGTTCTACAATAGGGTCGCAAGTCTTAAGCCGTAAGAAATTGGCAAGTGACAGGCTGTGGTCAAAATCTCACTACAAATGCTTTGAAACATTTGATGAATCAATTAGAAGAAAGTATTTTACAAACTGATCAGTTAAAAAACGCTTCAAAGCGTTTGCAGCATCGCATTGACCATACTCACAGTTAAGTATGAAAAGAATAATATGTTAATTAATTTTTTACTGTTTACGATTCTATTGTAAAAGCCTGACCAATCCAAAGGACGCCCGGCAGCCGACACGAAAATCATTATGCGCATGCGCACGACATATGACGTCTCCCAATTGATCGTAGACTAGGCCTAATGGTGTGTTCGGAGAGATGCTATTAGCGCTTCTATCATGCTATCTTTGTTGTTTATCAGACGTAAAACAAGGATAGAATGACACAAGTAACGCTGATAGCGTCTCTCCGAACTTTAAGTTGACGAGATGGGTGGTTCCATCCAAATTGATTTTTAAATCGATCTGAATTGTAATCGTATTGATCGATTCATCAAAAAAAACGGACGATCAAAAATCGATTTTTTAACTTAACCTAACCTAATCTAATAAAACTACATCAAATCTAATAAAACATCACACAAGAACACAATCACTAACAAGAGCAGACAAATTGAATATTTCTGATTTATATACGTTTATATAATTTAGGAATCGTTTGGGCAAATTTAAGAAAAATATTTAAACATTTGGGTGATATTATTTTTCTTGTTATTAATAAATTTTATCATGCGTCAAATTAGCAGACAGCGATTTTATTTAACGTGTTTTTGAATGGAATCGATTAGAAATCATTTGGGGAAAATGTCTTCATTGTTATTTTTATTTGAGAAAGTTGCTGAAAGTTGCTAATTCAATAGATTTACTCATATTGCGAAAACGATCAACAAAGCCC